CTCTGTGTAATGAGCCGATCTCCCAAAGTAACATCCAGCTGGTTAAATAGTGATGCTATAGGGTAGTTGGTCAGGCCCACCCTTGCCCCATCATCAATATCCGTCCCATCCGCCTTTACAATCTTGCAACTCACATACAGCAGAGTGTTGTTTAAATCCGTGTAATGCTCACCATGCCCTGTGATAAAAAATTCCAGGGGTGCGTTGGGTGTTAGCGCTGATAAAGGAGGGATCTCGACATAGGTACTGTTTTCAATACTGGTCTGTGTAGGCGCCAGTTGAAAAAGATCCAGTTCTGATTTAACACATTCCTCTGAAGCAGAATGAATAAATGACATATTGTATTAGAATATGTCTTCCTTGTCACAGAGCTTCCTCTTCTGCGCACGTCTCCTCTTGGTATGACGGGCCTTTTTCACAAGTCTTCTCTTTTTAAGCGGAATAGGGGGGCCCGATGCATAATTCTTCCTGGCTATGAACAACCCTGATCCAGCCTGCCCCCTATCAACAACTTGGGATACAAGATTCCCCGCAACATCTCTGACAATGTTTTTGGCAGCAGATTTCACATGCGGCTTAATGATTTCTAACCCACGCCTCAAAAAAGGCATTGCTTTTCGAAAAAGCCCACGGAACAGACCCCCTAACCCTGTCCCGTACATAATGGGGGCTCCTCGGAAGCCTGGAAGGCCTCCACCGGCTTGTGCCCTGTAGTAAGCCACGTAGTCTTGAGGGTTCCCGTGCTCCTTGATTACAACCATCCTTCACTTTTCCGAGGCCTAAAATGAAGCTTGACAATCACCTTCCCGTTATAAAAACGCACGTTTTTGTCCTGGTCGGTTTTGATTTCTATAGTAACGGTATCGATGTGATGTTTGCTGACTGGTACATAATGTGGACGGTCATAGGTTATTGTGATGAAATCATTGTCTTGCCCTTGCACAGGCACACAGCGCAGTAATGGCACATAGTAGTCACCCACTATCTGGAGCTCTACAATGTCTGTGTAAACATATAAGGTGTTGAATCCAGGGAATGTACTTAACAGATGTCCAAGTTCTCCGCTAACTAGAATGGTATGCGGTTCATCACCTTTAAGGTTAATTTTTCGACCCACTGCATCATACTGTAGGGTTGTCTTAGGGCCGTCCTTGGCACTTGATATAAGCTTGTTCATATTTTCTAACAGTTGTCGGATGCTAGTATAGTATCCGCTTCTCAAAGAAAAATGCCATCTCTTTCTCTCATTAGCAATTTCAAAATATCCAGGAGAAGTTAATGTGTGCCAACTATGCGGATACTGTATCTCTGCTAGCCCTACTTCCCATGACCCTGGAAGATCCAATGATCTTGCTAATTGTATAGTAAAATTAGAATTTCTGTTTTGGGGGAAAATTGCTGCTGACGCATTGCTGGGAAGGGTGATGTAAAACTCTGCCATATCAAAGATGTTGTACTTCAGTCTCCTTAACCCAACTGTTGAACTTCTCTGGCCATCCAGTCCATTTGACTAGAAATTCTCTGTGTCTCCCCCGCCCTCTTTTTTGGATAATTTTCTCTATTCTGTATATGCGCTGTTGGTCAGCAGGAACCTTTTGGAGCTCCTCAAAGTAAAAAGCCCCCTTTACAGGGTCACCATTGTAATCATTTAATCTATACACCGCTCTTTCCCCCCTTGTCTGCAGTTCTTTGACGATGAATATCTCATCCGTATAGGTTTGCTGATAGCCCTTTTCAAACTTACCCTTCAGTCTGGATACCCTGACATGATCCCCCATCTTAAGACATTTTTCCTTTCTTTTTCTTTTTAAAGTTGCCCCATAAAGCCTCATCCACACACCCCTTTCGTTAGACAAATTTACGGTGTTAGGAGCAGTACCGATGCTACGATGGTAAGAGCTATTGTACCCCTGAATAGTATCTGCTAAAATGTCCACATACCGGTGGGTATTTCTAGCTGTGAAATATCTCCAGAGTTTGTTTTTTAGGGTTCTATTAAACCTCTCTATAACGGCTGCTTTAGTTTCGCTATGAGTGACAAAATGATGAATGCCGTAACGTGCTAAAAGTTTCTTCAGTGGAATATTCAAGAACTCTTTACCTGCATCTGTCTGTAATTTTCGGGGTGCACGTCCTGTTTGAAAGATATTCTGGAAAGCGGATGTAACTTCCCTCCCTGTTTTATCAGATAAAGGGGAGGCCCAGGCATATTTAGATAACACATCGATAACTGCTAAGATGTACTTTTTTCCATGATTCTCTTTAGAAAATTTGGAGACATCTATGAGGTCAGCCTGCCATTGATGATCTAAGCCAGACACTACTGTTTTATTTCTAGGAAAATTAATTCTTGCAGGCTTATGAAGCGTATAAGCGTCTTCCCCTGACAGCCACGTCTTGACTTGCTTCATGGTCAGGTTTTTATCATGTTTTCTAGCTTCCTGAAAAAGGGCATTCACACCTCCATAACTCCCTACACACCCCGGAGTATAATAAATACGACTTAAAAGCTTTTCATGCATCGTTATACTGAAAGACCACTGACAAATGTTCAAGTGTTGACATTAACACAGTCTTTTATTGGTTATACAGAATTCAGAGGGTGCACGGCTCTGCCATCAGAAAAATATCCCTCATCACCACTATCAGAATCAGAAGATAATACTATTTTATAATACTCTGACCCGTCTGAGCCCCACAAATCACGTCCGCAGTCACAAGCAAACCAGTCTTTACACAAATTGCAGCTCTTTAACTCACAAGGTAGATAGCGTGGTCTCTGGGATAGCTCATAATCCCTGTTACAGTCTAGATCAGAGAAATCTGCAGAAGCTTTCTGACCATGGCGATTACCACAGGAATCTAAAAGCGGGGTGTCTTGAAGTGTTTGCTGTCTAGGTATTACTAATTCAGAGTCTGCAAAATATAAAGCACATCCTGTTAGCGGTGTATCCGCTCCAGCACCATTTACATTATCATAAATAAAAACATATTTACTTACCATTTGATGTTTTGCAGAATCTGCAATAACAAGGTTTTATAAGTTTGTTCTCTTCAATGAAACTGTATAACTCAGGTCCTTTTCTTATTCTGCGCCCACGCTTGGGTGGTTTGGGGGTCAAATTTACATCAAACAAATCTCCATCAGAGGCTGCCATCTTCAAAAGACTGCTGGGGTCAAATCGCTAGCTGTTCAGGCCTGCCCACACAAACTCCCCTGCCCCTTGCAATGACACGCCCTTGAGCATTGCGCATGCCCAGATCACGGGGAGCATGACATGCCCGGGCATGTCCCTGCCCGTGCAAACTCCCCCCTGCCCCTTGCAATGACACGCCCTTGAGCATTGCGCATGCCCAGATCACGGGGAGCAAACTCCCCTGCCCCTTGCAATGACACGCCCTTGAGCATTGCGCATGCCCAGATCACGGGGAGCATGACATGCCCGGGCACGTCCCAAACAAGGCCTACCCCTTCTTTTTTTTTACTAGCAGACAGAGAGGCATGGCTGCTTGCTGCTTGCCTCTTGTGAGCCTGGTTGGCTGCTTGCCTCTTGTGAGCATTTTAATTCCTGTTAATATTCCTTGTCTTTTGCTATAGTGGGAAGGCGGGCAGAATAAATTTTATTCGGGGTACAAATGGCAAAATATGTGTGTTTAGATTTTTTACAAAGGTAAAAACCAGCTGTGGGTTTTAAAAGGGGCTGTGTTTGTTTGTTTTTCCCCCTGCATTCGAGGAAATGCTTTTAAAACCACCTAGACATAAATACCTTTTAGAAAAAAATATCTTTTAGAAAAAAGGGGTTAAATGCAGGCTCTGGCTGCCTTTCAGGGGCTTCTTTTTCCCCAGCTTTTGAGGCACTGATTTTTAAAACTCCACAAAAATTAAAAGCATCGTTAGGCTAGAATGATTAGAAATAAAAAGCCTTTTTTTATTTTTTATTTCACAGCTCCCCAAAGTAGGGCTTGTTTCCCAAAAACACAGGCCTCTGCTAATTATTCACTTAGCTCTTTTGGGTTTTGAATGTCCATAGAAATAGTCTAGGGTTAACAGCTCCCCAAAGTAGGGCTTGTTCCCCAAAAACACAGGCCTCTGCTAATTATTCACTTTACTTAGCTCTTTTTGGTTTTGAATGTCCATAGAATTAGTCTAGGGTTAACCTAATCATGTACCCAGAGGATTGACTGCCAATCTTGATGGGATTAGGCCAAAACGTCACATCCGGAGGGTGGGGGCTGAGCACGTCACTTCCTTTTAGGGCTGTGCCCTGTTGACGTAATCAGCACGTGGGTTTGTTTACTTTGATGACGTCACTGATCAAAAGTGCTGATAATTTTCATTAAAAAAAGGTATACACTACTTCTACTTACGTGTATTTATATTGGCAGTTAAATCAACCTTAACCTAAACTTGCTTCTGCATTCATCTACCCATCCAGCTATGTCAATTTTAGCTTCCTCAGAACAATTATTATTATTTAAACAACAGCATACTAGGGAAGCTGGCAGACATACATCTACAGTTTTTGAAGAACCCAGAACAAGCTGAAGGCTAAAATATATGAAGAATGGTTGCAGGAATTGGGCATGTCTAGTTTAGTGAAAAGAAAGACTAGGGGAGATATGATAGCAGTGTTTCAATATCTGAGGGCCTCTTACAAAGACAAAGGAGATCAAACTATTTTTCAAAGCTCCAGAAGGCAAGACAGGAAACAATAGATGGAAAGTACCCAAGGAGACAAGCAACCTAGAACTAAGGAGAAATTTCCTAATGGTGAGAGCAATAAACCAATGGAGTTGCTTGCCTCCAGAAATTGTGGGTGCTCCATCATTGGAGGTTTTTAAAGAGACTGGAGAGCCAGTTATCTGAAATGGTATAGGACCTCCTGTTCCAGCTGGCAGTTGACTAGAAAACCTGCAAGGTCCCTTCCAACTCTATTATTCTATGTTTTATATTTCTAAGTTATGGGGGCAGAGAAAATTCAGAAAATGTACAAAAGCAATTGTGCATTAAATTTTATTTATTCAGCTTGGAAAGCTATTTTTTTAGTTCAAAGAAAGCATAGATTCAGCAATATATTTAACAGCAATCATAGTTTCTTCACAAGTTGGCTTTATCTGAGATTCAGGAAGAGCAAAACCATATCGGCCTTTGTCACGAAGTTCAAAGGTGAAGGCATATTTTATACCCTGGTCATAAGCCCAATCATCTGAGCCACCAGCAGCAGGATCTGTAAATAGTAAGGAATGGAATACATATGCTAAAAGAAAGAAGCAGGTAAATAGAATTGATTTTCATAAATTTAATGTATGGTATCAACTTGGCACCCTTTTGGATCTTCAGTACCCATAATTTCCAGAACATATGTCTATGCTAGATGTCTACTATTTACCTGAAGAGTAAGACTGTATTTCTTCCAACATCATTATGCAGTGTATGAGACACACCAATGATTGTATTTTCCACATTAATAGATAATTTTACCATGCTTGTTTCCTTTGTCTTTTTTTAATCAGTCATGGAATTTCGTATTAAAATTAATGAACTAAAACAGTATAGTTCTACTTGTTTTCATATATATCATAGTCAAGGCTTTAAATTATGAAAAATAGGAGAAATCTTTTTTGTAATACTTCTGCAAATCACATATACTGTAGTCATATAGTACTCAAGAGTCCTGATGTTTGAAAAGTGGGAGAATCCCTGTGTATATACACTGTCCGTAATGTTCTAATTACAAGTTTTTATGAACAATAATCTAATCATTACCATAGTCGTACTGCTATTAGTATAATACTTACAAATTGTTGCAGCTCCTGGACCATACGTATATTCAGTGCCATACAGTACTTTTAGTTCTCGGATGGCTGCTCTAGCAATAGAATTCTTTAGAGAAAAGATAAATTGTGGTAGACATTCAGATGTTTTGCTCAGAGTGGAAGCCAAGATGGGAAGAAGACTTATATTTTGGAAACTAGGTATCATATTTTTATTACCGTAGTCAGCCCTTAATTCCAGAGCTTCAGAGAGAATGTCATACAATGAAAAAGCTTGTGGCACTTCAAACATAAATTAATTAATTTTCACTTAGGTATTAGTTGCTTTGACAGAAGGTTTATCTCTGAATTTTTTTTGTCATGGCAATATCTATAATCCAAACAGGATATCAGCCATATTAATTAGTTATTTCCCATTGCAATAATAACTTGCAATCTAATATACAAATAGTCCGCGATTTACAACAGTTCGTTTAGTGACTGTTCAGAGTTACAATGGCACCGAAAAAAGTTATTTATGACTGTTTTTCAACTAAACCAGATTGTTGGGGGCAACATGCTGATATTGTAAATCACTCAGACAGTGCTTATAAAGCACTATGGAAAGGTATATAAATCTAAGTGCTGTCGCTATTGCTAAAGTCAAGTATTTAAAATTTCACATAACAATATTCATTAATTAGCAGAGAAAAGTTACAGCAGAGAGTTTTTGGTGCCAGAAGAAAGTAATTAGGATTTTTTTAAGGTTTGGAAATTATTTCATCAGAATAGCCTACATTTCTATAGAGAATTAGGGATTTTATTTTTATATTTTTAAACTTATAACCAGTTTTATCCCTCTATGTCAGTGGTTCTCAACCTTTTTATACAGCGACTCCGGTCATAAGGACACGCCGCCCATGCGTGGCGCACCCATGTGCGGCGCGCATGTGTGGCGCCGCCCCATGTGCGGCGCGCATGCGCGGCGGCGCCCCCTGAGGGAAAAAATGGTGGATCACGTTGTTTGGCGACCCCCATAAAATGGTTGTTCGACCCCAAATGGGGTCGCGACCCAAAGGTTGAGAACCGCTGCTCTATGTCTATGAATTTTAAGCATTATTGTTAAAGTACAAGGAGAGTTAAATTTGTTTTGATACATATTTGCTGTAACTGATGGACCATATAATGATCTAAACTGGAACCCAAGCCAAAGTCTGAGCACATTCTGAATCAAGCTTGCAATATTTTCGAGAAAAAAAGAGGTGATTAAATATACAGAGGTTTTAAGTAGCCCAATATAAATGTTAAGAGAATGAGGTAGGAAAATCTGATTACAAAGATAAGGGAGGCAATTTACTTTTACAAAAAAAAACCAAACACATTATGTGAAACATTGTGAAATAGAGATTGATTTAGTACTTTTCAAGAAAAAAAGAGTAATATTAGACTATCAGTTATGGGCGATATGCATACATGTATGCATTTTTGCATGCATGATGGATGCAATAAAATAAGCTGTGAAAAAAATGGAGGAATATATTTTTTATTAATCAAATTCTTCCTCCAAGAAGTCACCAGTGGTGAGATTCTAGCATGAATCTTGAGTTTCTTGTCCAGGGATGTGTGTGTGTGCATGCATATGTGTGTAGAATGTTATCTTTGTTTATCTAATCAATAGGACTACTCTTTGGATTCTAGTCACTTTGCCAAAAATAATGTCATATATGTATGCATATGTATGTGTTATATATATATATATATATATATATATATATATATATATATATATATATGTGTGTGTGTGTGTGTGTGTGTGTGTGTGTGTGTGTGTGTGTATGTATGTATATGTATATGTATATAATATATGTATGAATGAAAGCATACTACTTTAGTATAATATGATTCATCATTCAGTTGAGAGCATCTGAAGATATATTGCAAATATATTTCTTTTCTAAAGCAGCTGGCGCTTGCTGGAATTTAGATATGCAAGTTATTCTAATCTGCAATAAACAAGGATTACAGAAAGGGACATGATAATTAGTCAAGACAACTTTACTCAGTTTCTAATTTTTCCAGTGCTAAGTTCATTGCACTCTTTTTGCATCAACTTTCTAAAAGAACAGTACCCAAAATTTATACAAAGTCATTACTAAAAGCCAACATGGGTTTGTCAAAAATAGATCATGCCAGACAAATCTTATTGCATTCTTTGACCAAGTGACAAAATTAGTGATCAGAGGAATGCTGTGGACATAATTTACTTGGACTTCAGTAAGGCATTTGATAAAGTAGATCACAACCTACTATTTGACAAGATAGAAAAATGTGGGGTAGACAGAACCACCACCAGATGGATCTGTAGCTGGCTGACCGGCCGTACTCAGCGAGTGGTCCTCAATGGAACTGCATTGAGAGAAGCAACCTAGAACTAAGGAGAAACTTCCTGACAGTGAGAACAATTAATCAGTGGAACAGCTTGCCTCCAGAAGCAGTAAATGCTCCAACACTGGAAGTTTTTAAGAAGAGACTGGACAGCCATTTGTCCGAAATGGTGTAGGGTTTCCTGCCCGAGCAGGGGGTTGGACTAGATGACCTCCAAGGTCCCTTCCAACTTTACTACTATTATTATTATCTGCAATTTTCCTCATTTTTGTTTTGCATTTTTGCAAATGCTGTCCCAAATTTAATTTCTCTTAAATTTTGTCTTTGTGTGTGTATGCATTTGCTTATTTTGTACTAACATATGCTTTTCTTAATCATACTCCATTGCAACTTACTTCACAGAATTAAGAAAATATTAACAATTGGTTTGGAAAAAACAAACTGAGTCAGGTTATATTATACCATGGAACCAAATAAATAGTTTAAGAAGAAATATAACTAGTGGTGGCATAGGCATTCACAGGGAGGAAATGGGGGAAAATAAGAAAATGGAAATAAGGAATAAGGAAATAAGAAATAGATGTGTGACAAAGACTCTGTCTTTCATTATACTTTTGCGCAATGTCACACATTTTATCATTTGGGCATCAACATGGTTAAGGATAGATGTTTATGTTTCTGGATTCCATTATTTAAAAATGTTGAATTAAGCCCAGGGATTTCGATTTTGATGCTGCTATAGTTTTTCCTTTAAAAGGTTATTTATGGGATCCCGAAAAACTGTAGCAAGTGATGTGAATCCAAATTGTACATTTACAGGCTTTATTCAGGCCTTCGGAAAAACTCATGGAAAGTGTAAATAGGGAGAGAAGATGAATACTTCATCACTCCATCTCCATTCATTCAATAAACATTTGACAATGTATCTCTCAGAAATATAAAGGTGTGAAACCAAGTTCTAAAAGATTAGTATAGAAGGGGATATTTTTAAAGCGACATGTCAGACTGTGGCTGGAGCACTTATTTTATCAGACGTCTGCCAGCTTTCTTTATCATATTTCATGTTAGAATAAAAATGAAATAAGATAACATTCTGATAAAAAGTATTATCATTACAGGCTACTCTTAACTGATCTGGTTAAGAACATTATGGGAACAAAATCACCAAACATATTTCCTCTTTTCCATACTAAGGTTATTTTAGATCACTAAAATAACACAAATTCTATGAGAAACTGTATGCTGTTAAAACCAGGGACAAGAGAATTCTATTTTAATCTATCAATTTTATAATAATACTAATACATACTAATACTACTACTAATAATAAAGTTGGAAGGGACCTTGGAGGTCATCAAGTCCAACCCCCTGCTCAGGCAGGTAACCCTATACCATTTCGGACAAATGGCTGTCCAGTCTCTTCTTAAAAACTTCCAGTGTTGGAGCATTCACTGCTTTTGGAAGCAGGTTGTTCCACTGGTTAATTGTTCTAACTGTCAGGAAGTTTCTCCTTAGTTCTAGGTTGCTTCTCTCCTTGATTAGTTTCCATCCGTTGCTTCTTGTCCTGCCCTCAGGCACTTTGGAAAATAGCTTGACTCCCTATTCTTTGTGGCAGCCCCTGAGATATTGGAACACTGCTATCATGCCCCCCCCTTCATCCTTCTCTTCATTAAACTAGACATACCCAATTCCAGCAACCATTTCTCATATGTTTTAGCTTCTAGTCCCCTAATCATCTTTGTTGCTCTTCTCTGTACTCTTTCTAGAGTCTCAACATCTTTTTTACATTGTGGTGACCAAAACTGGATGCAGTATTCCAAGTGTGGCCTTACCAAGGCATTGTAAAGTGGTATTAATACTTCATGTGATCTTGATTCTATCTCTCTGTTAATGCAGTGTTGGCTTTTTTGGCAGCTGCAGCACCTGGTGGCTCATATTTAAATGATTGTCCACTAGGACTCCGAGATCCCTCTCACAGTTACTACTGTTGAGCAAGGTATCCCCTATACTATATTTGTACATTTGTTTTTTCTTGCCTAAATGTAGAACCATACTTTTTTTACCATTGAATTTCATTTTGTTAGATAGCATCCAGTGTTCAAGTTTGTCCAGATCCTCCTGTATCCTAAGCCTGTCTTCTGGAGTGTTGGCTATTCCTGCCAGCTTGGTGTCATCTGCAAATTTGATGAGTTCCCCGTGTATCCCCTCATCCAAATCATTGGTGAAGATGTTGAAGAGCACTGGGCCCAGAACAGAGCCCTGGGGCACCCCATTACACATTTCCCTCCATGTAGATGCAGTTCCATTGAGGACCACACGCTGAGTACGCCCGGTCAGCTAGCTACGAATGTATCTGGTGGTGATGCTGTCTAACCCACATTTTTCTATCTTATCAAGTAGTAGGTTGTGATCTACTTTGTCAAATACCTTATTGAAGTCCAAGTAAATTATATCCACAGCATTCCTCTGGCCCACTGGTCCACTAGGTCTGTAATTTCCTGGATCCATTTTTTTCTTTTTTGAAGATGGGAACTACATCAGCTCCTTTCCAGTCCTCTGGTAGTTTCCCAGTGCTCCAGGATCTTTGAAAAATATAGTTCAGTGGTTCTGAGATCACATCTGCCAGTTCCTTGAGAACCTTGGGGGATGTAATCCATCTGGTCCTGGTGATTTGAACTCGTCTAGGTTGGACAAGTGCTCACCATTTTCTTGCCTATCTTAACTTGTGTTTCTATTCTGTTTTTTTATGGCACTATTTTTGATAGGTTGGTCTGTTTTTTCCCTTTGTGTAAAGACAGATGCGAAAAACGAGTTAAATAGTTCTGCTTTCTCCCTGTTGCTTGTCACCTTCTTGCCACTTTCACCCACTAATGGACCAATCATTTCCTTCACTTTTTTCTTGTTTTTTTACAAGTTGAAAGAAGCTTTTTTTGTTATTTTTGTCTTTGGTCGCAAGCCTCAGTTCATTTTGAGCCTTAGCTTTTCTCACTTCATCTTCGCAGGCTCAGGCTATTTGCTGATATTCTGACTTAGTTATGTGTCCTCTTTCCACTTTCTATACTTGTCCTTTTTATCTTTCAATTTATCAGAGAGTTCTTTATGCAGCCATGCTGGTTTCTTTTGAGAGTTGTTATTTTTCCTCTTTGTTGGTATTGTGAGAGACTGGGCTTTTATTATCTCACTTTTCAAAATTTCCCAAGCTTCTTGAGTTGTTTTCCCCTGGAGGATTCTCATCCATGGAATCCTTCCCAAACTCTTTTTAAGTTTATTGAAATTAGCTCTGTTGAAGTCCAAAACTCTAGTTTGACTGTGTTCTATTGCTTATGCTTCCATAATGTTGAATTCCAATTGCATGATCACTTCCTCCCAAGGTTCCTATGGATTCAGCACCTTCTATCATCTTATCTCTGTTGGTGAGAATTAGATCCAAAATGGCTAATCCCCTAGTTCCCTTCTCTATTTTTTGGGAGACAAAGTTGTCTGCTAGGTTTGTTAGGAATCTATTTGATCTTCCAGAGTTTGGTGCAGAGTTTGTCTCCAGTTGATGTCAGGGTAGATAAAGTCCCCCATTACTATTGTATTTTTATTATTACATTTCAGTTAAATATTGCTTTGCTAAATGAAAGGCAGAAAGAGGGGCAAATGGATCTACCCTTTGAATAATACTTGTTAAAACATTGTAGTTTAAGGATAAAAATGTATATAATCTAGCATAACACCATCAAATAAAAAATGTCCAAAATGTCCAAAGCAAAACTGTTAATCTGTTCTTACTTTCTGTCTCTGGCCCAAATCCTGATATTTCCACTTGGGAAATATTATGGATCTATCTGAATTCACAACAGTACGTGACCCTTCTGGCAACTGAAAATTAAAATCCTCTCAATTTTTGAAATATCTTATTTGTCATAATGTATTTTAGTGCCAGATACTTCTACTTTTCAAATATTCCTAACTAAAGAACTAAATTTTCAAAAAAGAAATTCTATTGTATAATGTTCTAAGGCACTTAGTTTAGGAATAGATATGTACAAGGAATGGACAAGGAATACATATCTATTGTTATTCCTGTGCATCAACAAAGAAAGCAAAAATGGTGTATTAAATGGTTCCGACTGATGATAAATTACCATAATCTATAATGCCAAAAGCAAACTATGTTATGGTTTAGTGTGTTGCATAATCCAATCTAGAATCTCATTCCCAACTAATAACTTCATATGTTCTTGGCCTAACCTCACTTTTGAACCCCTATTGTTGGCAATGACACTAGTAGAGTAAAATCTACAGGTACTGCTTAACTTTCCTTTACTAAAATCTGGTTCTTGAATCTGAATTCTATCTTTGGACTTTGATTTTGTTTGATATCTCACCTTCTTTCTTATTTTAACCATGTATGAAATCTGTTGTGTTTCTGCATTACTGTTGAATCAATGGTTGCTTCTTCAGCAGTTTAAATGGTCTATGTAACAGGTCAGAGTTAATAGTTAATTTTTGTCCCTTGACAGGAAAGTGGTTTTTGTCTATTGATATTAACTTTTAAAAGTAAGTTAAAATGAATATAATGTAAAAGAAGAACTTCATATGAAAAAATACTATTTGTTCAGAAGAAAAGGGAAATGAAACAAATTCTTTAGTACGTCTGTGATAGGCCATTTCTGGGTCAATGTCTTTAATGTTGTTTGGGACTAATTAAATAGTACATTATTTTGGAACTGATTTGCCTGTGTCTTCACTGCTATTTATTCCCTGCCTTCCCTTTGTTTTTAAACAAGGTGAGAACGTGTGGAGATACACTAGTAATAGGCAAAGAAAGCTATCTGAAAAAAAATTGAGAAATATATGCCTAGATAACCACTTCTGTTCTAAGAAAGTAGCAGCTAGTATTTTCCTAATCATTCATGAGACATCCAAACACCTGTTGTAAATTTAAGACTAGTCCTTTATAGTCAAAGCAATCTGTCTGGATTGAAGTGGGAAGGAGACTTCATATCCCTGGACCCTGGTTTAATGTTTCCATTTAGTCATTTAAAGGAATAGAGGTATGGTGGAAAGAAGGCAAATTGCCTGTCTGGAAAAATAGAGACGTGGCAAACTAATTGTTATAAAAATTAAACTAAGGTGTGGAAAGTTTGAGATGAGTTGGAAAGTGAGGGAGAGCATGGTTCACTGGACCTCAGCTAACAAGGCTGTCTTCTATGAAACAAGAACTTTGTATTTTAAATGAGCAAATTTGGTATAAGAAGGACATTTGTTCTAATCTGATTCAGCAATAGACAGGAAACAAATATATTGCAAAATTGAATTGTCTCAAATTGCAGCCCAAGATAAATTATTTGCTGAAAGGTTCACAACTAATACAACTTTCAACTTTATTGTCACCTAATTCTACTTACCAGTTTTGCATTGTTTGATGTTAGATCATAAGTATAAGAGTATGGATAAAGGAGCATCTGGGAGTAAGAATGAATGGTCAAGTAAGCCTTGATAGTTGAGCGGTTTCTTCGAATGAAGTCAGCCAAAGCTTTGGTCTCCTTTTCTGATTCAGGTTTACTACCACAATAGGTTTCACTACAGGGATTTCTTGAAGCACCAACAGCTGAATGAAGTAGGAAAAAAAATTAGACATGATAGGTTGGTCTAAAAGGCAGAAAAAGTGTACCTTTCTGGCTTCCTAATGATTTTATGTCTTTTAATTTTCAGTTTTAACTTACTTTTTAAGTAAGTATCATTGAACAGGCTAATAACAGGATGAAACATTTGCATAGCATTTTTAAATTTAAAATTTTCAAAACCTTTTATATATCTGTAAGTCTATCAATAACTGGATTCACACATTATGCTAAGTCATGGTTGTTTTAGCTATGAGTTGTTGCAATGCTATAATGGCTGGTTGTGAAGAGCATGCAAACAAATATTAATAGATGGAGGAAGGGTGACAGATAATGGTCTGCACAAGGACATGTCATGCTGTCAAAGCAGAAGGAAGATTCAGACTGAGAATAACACGATCTTTTTAGCCATCATACATTATGCTAGGTCTCAAGTAATAGTATGACTGGTTACTTTTAAAAGTAGCTTTGAAAGTAATATTTATTTTATCATGCTTTCCTGTTCACTACTTCATCACTAGCACCTCCACAATCTTCTTTCTCACGACCAAATGTGCTTTCTTTTATCTACTTCTCCAATCAATCTCATTGTTCAAAAACTATTTGGAAAAAACTGGAACTGATGTAGTGCAGTTAGCTAACTGTGCAATTAGTTTTTCAGAGATGACCAGATAGATGTAAGAAAATGGATGGAGGCTATTGTTATTACAAAATAATATCCCTGTGTGACAGGATACGTGAATTGTGAAGTGGGCTATATAAATTATGGGCTTACTTCCACTGAGACACCCAACTGTTTAGAGCACATTAAAAAGGGATTATATAGAAATATTAATATGTATTCATTTAACCCATAAATGTGAGGGGCTATTTTGATCTAATCAAAATCCTGCTCCTGCACGGAAAGAGTTTGATATATTCCCTAATTAGCATCCATATGCAATGAAAATGTGGACATTGAATGGAACACTACCCTGCATAATTCTGCATCTCCTTACACTGTCTGCCATAATTCACAATGTTTTTCACTTTGTCTGACAAGCAATTCTTAGAAATAGGCATCTACTGTAAAGAAAAAATGGCTCAGTGGTTTAAAATATTTTATGCATTGATTTCTTCCTATCTCCCATGTATACAACAGTAGGAGAAAGAATTATATTCTGCAAGTTTTATTGTTGTCTAATGTTACCTATCATCATTGCTCTGACCTTATAGCTAAAAAATGAGAGTATCTATCTCTATATCTATCTATATCTATATCATCTATGGCTTTAATTCTTAAATTAAATTCCAATTAAAACAATTTGAAATGTCAGGAAATGTGAGGAAATTGGAGTCTGCCAGAGTAGATCATGTGCATTTAATCAGCTTGGTGCTCTTTGATGTCAAGGTCAAATAAAAACATCAGTCTCAGGTTTTGGCCTCCTTCCTGTTTAATATTTCTATAAGTTGCAAGGTATGATGATGGCAACTACTCTGAAGAGTGTCAGTTAGTGAAACTGGCATACAGCATTGTGGAATATACTGCATATATTTTACCAGGCAGTATTTCATAAGGCTGTGGCAGTGCTTTGAGGAAGATGTATTTTAATTAATTGGAGTGCCTATGGTACAGTGATTCCTTGTATTCAACTGCTTTGAAACTCATCAAATTTAGTATTCAACTCATTTTGACATGAAAACTTTGTCCTGGTATTCATTGTTTGTTTGGTACTTGACACACAAGCTAGAACTTGTGACTCGCTACATTATTCGTTGTTTGGTACCCATCATTTTTGGTACTCATTGTGCCTCCTGGAACCAATTATTAATGGGTACCGCAGTAACATTGTACTACTTTTTGAATTTTTAAAGCAGCTATGTCTTTTTACAGGTTCAAGGCCACTTTGGAAACTGCTTCCAGCTCTCTCCACATGAGTGTAACTCCACAGTCATTTGACTTTGTGAAGCTTTACCCAGCAGTTGTTTTTATAATTCCAAAAGCAGAAATTAGTATCTGCTCCTGTGCATTTTGAAGGACCTCTCTTAAGGGATTTGCAAGACTTTACCCTAGGACATTATTTTTTGTGTTAATATATGCATGTGAATATTTTATTTTGCTCTGCCAACATCACTTCTAGTGTGAATATGCTTCATGTAAAAACTAACAAAAAGACTTTGCTCATTAGTTTCTAGAAATATGCTATTTATGTGGGAGGAATCAGGCTAATTCAAAGTATATCATATACAGCATTATACAGATTCATATTTTATTTTATTTGTATATATGTATATTGTTCTCTGAAAAGAGGAAGGTTTTTTTGCCTCTTGCTGACAGAGAGAAAAACCATGTAACTTATGTGGAATAGAGTTCAGTTCTAAACCACAGAGCACTTCTTTCTTAGAGATGTTTAAAATTCCTCTATAATATGTTTCATAGGATTGCATTAAGAATTTGGAACTCAGCTAGAGCTGATGTTTGTAAACTTTAAGAATTCATCATGATCCACATAGGATTGGAGCATAGATTTTCCTTCTTAGGGTACAGGATACTTACTGCACCATGCAGCATCAAAATTTCTGTTGGGATCAGTACCAATGCATGTACTACCAGCATTTACAGAACGAGTCTTCCTCCACATGCGACTCTGAAATGGAATAGATTTGTGAATGTACATTTTGAAAAATAAGTGATACAATAATTATGACCTACTAATTGTGTATTACTTACCTGTATCCAAGAATAGACGTAACCGTCAATATTCAAGACAGGCAAGACATAGAAGTCTAACTTATTCAGAAGCTGAGTCATAATGGTTTCTTTTCCATAGGTTCGAACAGCCTACATACAAACCACAGAGATAGGTGATAAGGATAATCTAAATGACTGGCCTGATGTCACTTTCATTTGCATGATTACAAATAATATTACATGTTTTTGGCACAGGAAAAGGGATATGAAAAAATATTGAGAGAAGTAAGAACAGCAGCATGAATCAAGAGCACTAAAATTTCAGCTGCTTGTCAATTATTGTCAGTTTGGTAATACTGATGATACCAATTGCTAAATGAATATAGACATTGGAGAAAATTCATAAAGAGTCATAAAATTTATATTGTTTAGAAATTAGGATGTCACTGAAAGACTATAAAGAGATCCTTTTAGTACCTATCTATCTGCAATATTAATTGATGGATTAAGTTTCTGAACAGATATATGAAAAAAATAACGTTATAATGATATCTGTGATTATTTTAGAAATTAATTGTATAGCTTTCCCCATTATTCAAAATATATGACAGTAAATATGTTAAATGTTTAATAGATGACAATAATGGAGTCTCTGATTAGATTTGATAACTGTAATATTGTAAATAAGGGAAATTTTTGCTTTCTGTTGCATTACTGGAAGAGATAAGGAAAGATGAATCTGAATAGCAAATACATTAATGTGATTTTTACTTTTCAAACTGCTTCTCCACATTTTAAAGGACACAAAAAGAATTTGTATCCTGCCACTATGGCAAATCTGTCAATGCTCTAGATCCTGTTTATGTTCTGTACTTCATTGGGTTAAAAGAGGGTAGCTTTAGCAGCTCATGCAAAGAGTTAAAACAGTGGAAAAAGGAAGTTAGAATTAACTTTTTCAGAGCCCAACAGAATGCTCCTGATCAGCTGATATCTGTGAAATGGCACAAATGATCCTGGGAGTAGATGAGATTCTAGTACAATCTTTAGGATTGCCAGAGCACAGAAAAGGACAGGTTTGGGTAAGAATTAGGATTTCCTAATACTATTTGCAAGGCATTGACCCTAAATATTACAAATTTGGGCATAAAAAGAGAGAATGTGGTGTAGTGGTAAAGATGGACTAGGATTGGGAAAACCCATGTGTTGGTCCTTTAGCTGTTGAAGTTCCACTCAACTCTCTTAACCCAACCTTATTATAGGGGAGTTGTGGGGAAAAATTGGAAGAGAAGATGCTATGTATCCCACCTTGAGCTTTTAAAAGAAAGGCAGGAATAACAACAATAACAACTGAAACTTTTTCTGTGCCTTCATAAAAGACTATAGTCAACTTTGGCATTGATTCAAATCCAGAAAGATGAAGGCTATATATTTCTCTAGACAGATGTTGCCTCAAAGGGCTGCAGATATGAGGAAAAGGAGAAATTTATTCCATAATTCTCTCATGTTGCTAGGCTTATGTGTACCAGATTTTGTAAGTCCATGTCTTCCGAAATAAATATCCCTAAAAGTGAACTCAAGTAATGAGTATCACCAGAACTGAAAGACAAAATTTTCAGCATGCTTAGGCAGTGCTAAGATTCTTAAAAAACCCAACAACCTAAGAAACCAATAAACTAAATAGTGACATTAAAAACCAGCTATGACATCAAGAATAGAAGAAGCTGCTACTTAACTGTTTTAACACACACTGGAGAATGTGCAGCTTCTTTAAACTTATCTTAGAAGTGTACATTAATTATTAGATACATTTTATATGGCACAGTCCGCTCATTATATTTTAATTATAATCTACTGATATCTTTTTACAAGACCTCCCCAATTTGTTATTCTAACCCTAATACTTTGTTTAATTGCAACGGATTTTCTCTTAATAGTGAATAGAATAAATTTTGCAAAGGGGTAATCAGGATTTTTTTTCTGCAATAGCAAACTCCAGTGTCATGTTCACAGTGTAATTATGCTTCAAAATGCAAACTGGAAATCAAATGAAAAATCAAAGTAGAGTGTTATTTTATAGGAAAGACAGAAACTTTGGAATAACAATGAGAATATGTTGTGGAACTGTAAATAATTTTTCTTTAATTTTACAATCCCACCCAATTCCATTTTCAGTTGAGTCAATAATTTCTGCCACTGATATTTTGTCACCAACCTCTCGTACAAACCACTGGCAAAAAGCAGGTGAGATCCATTCTCTGGCATGGAAGCCACAGTCTATAAAAATAGCTTTTTTATTTACACCAGGCTTTCCAACCTATACAAGAAAATGAACGAAAGAAAAAATTGGATACAAATTGTTAATGGTCTTCAAAGAGCATAGTTCAAATAATATTACATAGTGCAAATACTCAGAATAACAGAGTTGGAAGGGACCTTTGAGGTCTTCTAGTCCAATCTCCTGTTCAGGCAGGAAATCCCATACCATTTTAGACAAATGGTTGCCCAATCTCTTCTTAAACATTTCTAATAGATTTAAAACAACTTTGAAAAGTTTAAAAGAAAACATTTATTTGTTTAGTAAGAAATGAATATGTTGCCTGTCCCCTCAGTAGTTCTTAACAGTTTAAAAAACACAGTAAAATATCCATGAAATCAGTATTAAAAGAATAACAGATATAAAACATAAATGACAACTAAAACCAGAGTTGCTTTCCATTATTACTTGAGTTCATATGGAAAGAGGTCTCATCCTTTTCCTTGTGTGTGTGTGTTTGGATGGAACCTATGTCTTAGTATTTTTCATCATCCCTACAAACCACCATATTTTTTCCTTGAAGATTATGGTGTATCTTTAGAATCTGGCTACCTGCAGTATATTGTTTTTATATAATTCTGCCTCTTACATAAATAGTAAGGTATAAAATATCCAGATGCAAAGGAAGACAAGTCTTCCTTATCTTTAAATGTAGTTCACAAGAGGGATGTTTATTGTGCAGAAGTATGACAAGCTCCATCTGGTGAATTTCCCAACCATTAAAGGAACAAGGAATTGATTTCTTTCCCAGCTAATCTTTCTAGTCATGCAGTTTCTGTCCAAGTTGGATTTTTAAAAAAAATCATGTTACAAAACTCAGAAGTCAGTTCATATACAAAAGCCTCATGATCATATTTATGTACTTAGACTGGACCACAATGTTAATTTTTAGCAAATTAAACCTCAGATCACAGAACAATGGAAAGCAAAAGTGCAATATTAGCTCATTGGCTGGGGAAAAGCACATAAAAAGCAAGAGCTTTGAAATCTGGTCAGCATTTTTTATACAAGTAAAGAACAGTGGTACCTTGCTACTCATCATTAATTTGTTTCAGGAAGTGCGATGAGTATCAAAAACGTAAGTACCAAACAAATTTTTCCCATAAAGAATAATGTAGTGAGTCAGAAGGCATTTGACACTGACAAGTTCTAGCTTGTGTGTTGACTACCAAACAAGCAATGAATACTGGGACAAAAATTTTAGGTCAAAATGCAATGAGTACCAAATTTAATGAGTTTCAGAGCAGTTGATTACCAAGTTACTACTGTTTTAGGCTTCTGTTTATATTAACAAAGTTTTTCTTAACATATATTTGGCTACACTAGTGTTTTTCTGGGTAGAAACATTGATTATGAAGATCTCTCTCTCTCTCTCTCTCTTTTCAATATTTTCTTTTTTGTAATTTTTAATGATTTAATTGAAATATTGCAAAATAATAATAAAATACAAATTCACTGTTATTGTTTGTTGTAATGTATTAAGGACAATTCGGGAGTGTGAGATGGATTAAAAAGCCTCCCAGAGTTACCTTGAGTAAGATGGGTGGCCTATACAAACAAACAAACAAATGTTAAATAAATACAGGTTTGACTTGAAACAGATAGCAGCAACTAAAATCTCAACCTTGGGTTTCTGTTCAGGTCTTCAGATAGCAGAGGAATATCACCAATCCAAACACTTATTGAATAGCACACAGCAGACACGGATGTAGCCAGGACCCCAAACTTTATTGTCAGTGAACCCAATAGGTACTCTGCCCCGTTATGGCATAATTAATTAAACTCAAAGTACCTAAACATAGAAGTGACTTTAGATTGGCATGATGGCATGCTCTCCTTTCAGCTCTGCCTAGAAAGCCAATGCTGGACACACAGAAGCAAATAGGGCATATCCTTCTCCAGTGTCTATAGTATAGAAACATTCATGTCAACCTCATCTCACCATAACTTTATAAATACCCGGGATGGACAGGATGGACAATATTGCCAGATTCTGTGCAACCGCACTAAAAATTTGTCGGAAGAGTTTTTCTATAAACTACTGTAGATTTAATAAGCATCCAGTTCACCATGGTAGAGTGTTTTGTAACTTCCATATACTAGCCTTTATGTTTTCCTACATCAAAGTAGTGGTCCTACCCCTTCTTTTACTATCCATCTATCCATCTATCTGTCTGTCTGTCTGTCTGTCATCTATCATCTAATTTTTAATTATATATATTTTGTATCTTCTAGCTTTTCATAATTTTTAAAGAGTTTTATTTCTATATATCTATATGCTTTTTTTCAATGACTATACATCAGACTTTATGGATTACTGCCTTGTCGTGGCGAAGGGGCTTGTGTAACTCAATGAAGCTATAAGCTATGCCGTGCAGGGCCACCCAAGACGGACAGGTCATAGCAGAGAGTTCTGACAAAATGTGATCCACTGGAGAAGGAAATGGCAAACTACTCCAGTATCTTTGCCATGAAAACCCCATGGACAGTACTAAAAGGCAAAAAGATATGATGCTGGAAGATGAGCCCCTCAGGTCGGAAGTTCTCCAATATGTACTGGGGAAGAGCAGAGGGTAGCGCCAGAAAGAATGAAGTGACTGGGCCAAAGCCAAAAGGATGCTCAAGCTGTGGATATATATTGGTGTGTGAAAGGAAAGTCGAGACTGAAAGATTTTCTCAATAGAACCTGGAATGTAAGATCCATGAATCAAGGCAAGCTAGATGTAATCAAAAAAGAGATGACAAGACTGAACATCGACATCTTAGGAATCAGCGAACTAAAATGGACAGGAATGGGTGAATTTAACTCAGATGACCATCAGGTATACTACTGTGGGCAAGAATCCCTCAGAAGCAATGGAGTAGCCTTCATAGTCAATAAAAGAATAGGAAAAGCAATACTGGGATACAATCCCCAAAATGACAGAATGATCTCAATTCGAATCCAAGGCAAACCATTCAATATAACAATAATCCAAATCTATGCCCCAACCACTGGTGCTGAAGAGGATGAAACTGACCGGTTCTATGAAGCCCTACAGCACCTTATAGAATTAACATCAAAAAATGATGTCCTTATCATCATGGGGGATTGGAATGCTAAGGTAGGAAGCCAAAAGATAACCAGAATAACAGGCAAGTTTGGCCTTTGAGTACAAAATGAAGCAGGGCACAGGCTAATAGAATTTTGTCAAGAGAATACGATGGTCATAACAAACACTCTTTTCCAACAACCCAAGAGACGGCTCTACACATGGACATCACCAGACGGTCAACATAGAAATCAGATTGACTATGTGCTCTGCAGCCAAAGATGGAGAAGCTCTATACAGTCAGTAAAACAAGACCAGGAGCTGACTGTGGCTCAGATCATGAGCTTCTCGTTGCAAAATTTAGGCTTAAATTGAAAAAAAGTAGGGAAAAGCACTAGGCCACTCAGGTATGAACTAAATCATATCCCTGATAAATATACAGTAGAGGTGACAAATAGATTTAAGGAATTAGATCTGATAGACAGAGTGCCTGAAGAACTATGGATGGAAGTTCGCAACATTGTACAAGAGGTAGCAACTAAAACCATCCCAAAGAAAAAGAAATGCAAGAAAGCAAAATGGCTGTCTGAGGAAGCTTTGCAAATAGCTGAGGAAAGAAGGAAGCGAAAGGCAAAGGAGAAAGAGAAAGATACACCCAATTGAATACAGAATTCCAGAGAATAGCTAGAAGAGATAAGAATACCTTCTTAAATGAACAGTGCAAAGAAATAGAAGAAAACAACAGAATAGGAGGACCAGAGATCTCTTCAAGAAAATTGGAGATATGAAGGGAACGTTTCATGCAAAGATGGGCATGATAAAGGACCAAAATGGCAGGGACCTAACAGAGGCAGAAGAGATTAAGAAGAGATGGCAAAACTACACAGAAGAACTATACAAGAATGAGCTTAACATCCCAGATAACAACAATGAGATGGTCACTGACCTCGAACCAGACATCCTAGAATGTGAAGTGAAATGGGCCTTAGAAAATATGAGCAACAACAAAGCTAGTGGAGGTGACAGTATTCCAGCTGAGCTATTCAAAATCTTAAAAGACGATGCAGTAAAAGTGCTACACTCAATTTGCCAGCAAATTTGGAAAACTCAACAGTGGCCACAGGATTGGAAAAGGTCAGTTTACATTCCAATTCAAAAGAAAGGCAATGCCAAAGAATGTTCAAACTATCGCACCATTGCACTCATTTCACATGCTAGTAAAGTTATGCTTAAAATCCTACAAGCTAGACTCCAGCAGTATGTGGATCGAGAACTACCAGAAGTACATGCAGGATTTCGAAGAGGCAGAGGAACTAGAGATCAAATTGCCAACATACGCTGGATCATGGAGAAAGCTAGGAAGTTCCAGAAAAACATCTACTTCTGCTTCATTGACTATGCAAAAGCCTTTGATTGTGGGGATCACAACAAATTGTGGCAAGTTCTTAAAGAGATGGGAGTACCAGACCATCTCATTTGTCTCTTGAGAAACCTATATGCGGGTCAAGAAGCAACAGTGAGAACTGGACACGGAACCACTGATTGGTTCAAAATTGGAAAAGGAGTCCGGCAAGGCTGTATACTGTAGCCCTGCCTATTTAACTTATATGCAGAGCACATCATGAGAAAGGCAGGGCTAGATGAATCAAAAGTTGGAATTAAGATTGCCGGGAGAAATATCAACAACCTAAGATATGCAGATGATACCACTCTAATGGCAGAAAGTGAAGAGACACTAAAGAGCCTCTTGATGCGG